TGGGGACTGTTTACAGAAGAACTTCAGCAACTTCTCACTGAGTAACAGAGAAATTGCAACTGAGGAGCTTTCTGAAGAGAAAGGAGAGTATTAACAATCAGTGCAGCAAAGTTCTGAAAGATCCAGAAAAAATGGACAGAGCTACAGCCATTTGTAAAGAAGATCCACTCAGAGAAGAAAACCAGTTATTGAATTCACTTGTTTAATGACAGTGTCATGTCATACTACAGAATGGTGTTAAACAAAAGAAACAATGTTAGACCAATTGTTAATGCTAAACAGGTTGAAACCTAGAAACAGGTTCTAGTGAGCTACAGACTCCCAAGGAGAGAAAGGGCACCACAGAGCCAGATTCCTGATGTCCTTAGAGAAGGAAATTCTCATTCCAAACAGTAACCACCTTCCATTTCATCTTTTATTCCTGTTAAGCCAAAGGTGTCAATAGTGAGTAGTTGAATAGTGAGTGCTATATGAAATTGTTGTTTCTGGTAAGCCAGACATTTTATAACTTTTTGTTGGATACACTAGGAAAATTTTGGTGTTTCTAGTAAATCGTGCGTATATATACCACCCTTTTTTATTATGAAGAGGTTAGTAAAGGGGTGCTTTGGAAGGTTCAGAACACATTATGGATAGTTCCATTATTTTTATGGGAAAAATAGTCTTGACTTACAACCAATTGGAGTTACAACCAGCCCTCACAAATGAATTGAATTTGTTACTAAAGTTTTCACTGTACTTGCATTATGAACAGTTGGTAGGAAAATTGATGTTCCAGATAATCCAGTACTTGGGCACTTTGCCCAGCTTCTAGTAAGCTGTTACAAAAACTATAAAAACAAGCTAAGCATGGTGACATATAACATATACGTGTAACCCCAGCACTGTGGAAGATAGAGGCAGTTGGATGGCAAGTTTGAGCCCAGGTAGCGCTGTTTAATGACTTGGCAATACTCTGTTTTAAAATTAAGGGGATAGATACAGCACAATGCCAGGGCCCCTGGGTTCATAATAAAAATTTTCCAGTAATGTGTCATACTGAATTAGAGGGGGAAAAAAAGAATGTTAACTTTACTTCTGTCAATATAAGAAGCTGTGGGGGGAAAGGAAGCAAAGAGAGTAATTACCTCATGAACCTCTTACCTTTTTTTTAGTTCAGTTTTGTACATGTCTGAAGTGTTAACTGACACTGCACTTTGTGACAACTTTATTTTCATTTGATTTTAAATATAAACCTGCATTAATTTAACTTGATCAACAAATATTTACTGAATATACTACAAAATGCAAAACTTTGATCCAGGTACTACAAGTTTAAAAGGCTGTATTAGATAAGGGTCTTGACTTTCAAAAGGGAGTTAAATGTCCAATAGAAAAAGTAAGATTTGAAGATTTGTGTATGCATATATAGATACTAAATTTGGGCATGGTGACATGTACCTTTAATTCAACATTGGCCGACTGAGGCGAGAGGACTATAAATTCACCTAAGCCTGAACAATTCAGTGACATAGCAAGACTCTGTCTCAAAATAAACAATAGAAACAGCTGGAAATGTAGTTCAATACAAGGGCCCTGGGTTTGTTACCCAGTACCACCAAACAAACAGAACAACCGAGAAAGTAAGTTCTGTAGAGAATGAAAGACTTAACAGTTTGACTTTAAATCCCAATTCTATCTGAACTGAGTATTTGTGCTCAAGCTACAGAACTTTTTTTGTGGAGGTTGAGTACTGAGGATCAAACTCATAACCTCACATCAAGCTACAGAATTTACTTAGACTCTTTTCTCATTTGTAGGTTATGAAAAGTAAAACTTGTTTCATAGAATTGTTGAGAGGAGTAGGTATTTAAAGCTAGAAAGGCTTTTTAGGTTTAGACTTGTAATATATAACTCCCTGTTCAGAATCTCCTTTTGAGTGTTTTAAAGCCATTTTAAGTCTAAAACCTGTCATGAGTTCTCTTCTAAAATCTTTTCTGTCCTCATGAATGATGTCAGCAATTTTTTTTTTTATGTGTCAGTACCAGAGATTGAACTCAAGACTATGCGCTTGTAAGGCAGGCACTTACGCTGCTGAGCTAAATCCCCAGCCCCGTGATGTCAACAATCTATCTAACTAGATTTTTTATTTTTTAATTTTTTTTTGGAGACAGAACCTTGCTATGCAGTTTAGGCTGCTGTTGAGCTCACTTTGCAATCCAGGCTGGTCTCAAATTTACAACCATCCTCCTACCTCAGCCTCACGAGTGCTGGGATTATAGGCATATGCTACCACGCCCGACTGTCAAATCAGAAATCTGAGTCACTTTTCACTAATTACTGCATTTTCCAATCTACCTGCAGCTCTTGATTTAACACTATAAATTTTATTCCATATAGAAACCTGTCCCACACCTAATCAGAGTAAATGTTTTCTAAATGTACATGCAGCTTGTTTTTCTAAAATTTTTTCAATGGATTTCCATTATTCTCCAGATAAACAGAATACAGATAAATCTTTAATTTGTCTCCCATTCAGTCTGCCTTGCTTGCTCAGTGTTAAGTCAGCCTTTTGTATCTATAGGTTCCTCCATAGGTCAAAAATACAGTATTGAGAAAAACAAGTTGCATCTGTACTGAACATGTATAGATTTTTATTATTTCCTAAAAAATATTCTCTAACAGCTTTTTATGTTTCATTTACAATGTATTGGGTGCATCATATATTGTTTTTTGTTTGGTTGGGTTGTTTCGTTTTTTCAAACAGTCTTGCCGTGTAGCCCAGGCAGGCTTTGAACTCACAGTATAGCCCAGGATGGCTTCAATCTCATGGTGATCCTCCTGCCTCAGCCTTCTGAGTGCGGGATTACAAGCCTATTCTATCTCTCACAGTTATTTTATATAAAGGATTTGAGCATATGGATGAACAAAGGGAGGGAAATTTATGAAAGAACTAAACAGACATTTAGGCTGTCTTTGGGTTTTCTTTGTACTAGGCTGCAAGTGAAATGCACATATTTACAGAGGTGCAAGTACAATACTATATTTCAATAAAGTAATGTTTATCTTTGATGATTTTTTTGTTTTGTTTTTATACTCTATTGTAGTTAGGGGTTGCAGGGAGAACAATTATATACAGGGCACATAATTTATAGTATTATTTATAATGGTCACCCAAGGAGTCAAATACAAAGGAAGTGCAAGAAATCTGTCCATGATACCAAACATGTAAAAAATTCAGCCAAGAGCCTGGATCCCATGGCAATAACGTGCATGAGTTCAGCTGAAAACCCAGAGCCCACAACAATAACCCACGCCAAATCTGTCCCACACATCTGTGCTGGGAAAGCCCAAAGATCAGTGGTGGAAGCTAGAAAGTCAATGCCAGGAAGGTGAAGGATCTGTGCCAGCAGGCCAAGAGCTCTGTACTGGAGCCAAGAAGTGATGCTTAAAATCAGGAGCAGGGCTCCCCTGAAAAATACCATAGCCATCCTCAGCAACAATGATGTCCCAGCCTCCTTGGATGGTGAAAACAGTCAAATACCTATCAGGAAGCCTGCACGACAAGCTTCTCCTAGAGATTAAACAACACACATCCTCCCCTCCAGAGCCAGGAAGCAATGCTCAAAATAAGTACCAAAACTCCACCAAAGTGAGCTGCAGCCATTCTCTGCAACAAGGTCCTGAACTCCTCCCGTGATAGCCAAGTTCATATTAGGGGAGCCAGCAGCTCCAGACAGCAACACTTAAGAGAACCCACAGTGCTCCTCCTCATCTCATTTTGATGCTGACATCAGTCCTCAGGTGAGTCTTCCCTGCTCAGCACCATGCTATTACAGTTCAGCTGGTGTTTTAAGTTGACCATCAGTTACTAATCCACTGCTCATCCCATTTATCTCCATCCCTTTCTTCCTGTTTTTTTATTTATCTGAACTCGGAGAGCCACTCATGGCTCATGAACCCTGCCTATTCTCCCCATGTAATTAATGAAGGCCAACCATTTGAAATTCATGTGAGTTTCTCTTAGTGTAAGCAGGTTATTTTATATACATGGCATTTAAGTTGAGCATTTGAGGGGTTGCTGCAAAATAGCTACTTGTCTTCACAGTGGAGAATGAAATCCATCAGTTCATAAATTAGGTCCCAGCTAATTCAGAAGAGTATTTGAGAATCTCAAGAGTTTTATTATTGTAATTAGTATTGCTCTGATCATTACAGAGTGCCACGGCCTTAAGAGAACAGAAGGAGATTGAGTGATAAGGATAAAAGTGATGAGTAGACACATGGACTAGTACTAGAGTAGGGGTTGGGAACTCTTTTTGCACACAAATCAGGTTGCTTTCAGAGACAGGTATAAAAAACTTACTTATTCATGTCCAGCCATGAGTTAGGCTTTGGTGAGTAGGATTAAGCAGTTTCCAATTTTTCTCTTTTCTAAAGGTAAGGTATTTATTTTAAAAAAGAATAAAACAAACAAACAATGAGAACAATACTGGATTTCAAAAATGACAGTAGGAAACCAACCATAGTTATTCTTATGTACATTGTTATCCTCTAAATAGATGCTCAGACCACCAGACATGGCATGCAAAGTAAGCACTTAAGTTGTCACTTTACTTCATTTGCTACCATTCCAGAAATTTCAGGTTTGTGACTTCTAGTTTCTTTTGTGTCTGTATCTTCTGGACTTGTCCTGGGTGGGCTGGAGATCTAAGATTGTACCCTGCTTCACTCTCTGATCTGAGGTTCTGAGATGTCTGCTCATTGATGTTCCTCTGATAACCATAGGCCCCCAGGGTCACGGCTTCCTCTCCTTTGGGCCTGCAGCAGTTGGCTCACCAAAGGTCATGTCTTCTCCAGGCCTATGGCAGAGGGCTTGTGGTGGGTATGAGTGGGAGGTGAGTCGAGTATTTCTGTGTTTTTTTTTTTTTTTTTCTTTTTCATCGGTACCAGGGATCGAACTCTTGACTGCCTGTTTGCAAGGCAGGCGCTTATGCCACTGAGCTAAATCCCCAGCCCCGAGTCGTGTATTTCTAATGAATTGACCATTGCTTTCCAAAGTTCTGAAATGGCCAACAGACCATAGAAAGATACCACGATCGGCTCTTGCTTGAAACCAACAGCTTCAGAAAACTGCCTACCTCAACTCAGGGCCATTGTTGTTTTGTTTTTAACTTTTTATTTTATTGATACATGTTAGATATACATAATGATAACATTCATCATAGAGAGTTTGTACCTATACAAAATATATCTTAATTGTTCTTTTTTCTCATTCTCCTCCCTTTTACCCCTTTTTCCCTTTTAATTGCAAAAGCTTTGTTTCCATTTTTGCTTCTATACTTTTTTTCTCTTGTCCCAGCTTTCCTTTCTCCCTTCACTTCCCTTGTTCTCCTACTCAGTTGAACAACTTCTTCCTGTTTCCCAATATCTGTTATACATTTTGGTTCTTATTTATACTTTGGGTTTCTCACACCAGAGGAACTATGCAATATTTGAACATGTGCATCAGATTTATTTCACTTAAGAGTATGATCTCAAGGTATGTCCATTTAGCTAGCTTGTGGTACTCCATTGTATTAAAAAACCATATCTTTATGCATCCATTGGGTGAAGGGCATTTGGGGCTGTTTCAAAGATTGGTATATTATAAACTGCCACCATAAGCATGGGTGTGCATACACCACTATTGGTATATTGCTTTTAATTATTTCAAGACAGTACCGACAAGGGAAATACCTGGGTCACATGGAAACTCTAGTTAGCTTTTTGAGGAATCTCCATTGTGGTTGCATCAGTCTGCAATCTGACTAACAGTGGAGCAAGGTTGCTTTTTCCTTAGAGCCCAGTCAGCATTTTTTTTTTTTTTTTTTTTTTTTTGGTCTTTTTGTCTTTTTGAGACAGGTTCTCACTATGCAGTTTAGGCTGGCCTTGAGCTCACTTTAGTCCAAACTGGTCTGAACTTGCGACGATCCTCCCACCTCAGCCTCCAAAGTACTGGGATTGCAGGGGTGAGCCACCACACCTGGCTCTGGTCAGTATTTTTATTGATTGATTTCTTCATAGTATTCTTTCTGGAGTGACATGGAATCTCAGAATTACTTTAATTTGCATTTCTTGAATAACAAGTGATGTTGAAAATTTTTTCATATATTGTTTCTACTTCATCTGGAATGTTCATTTAAGATGATCATTTTTGGATTAGGTGTTTAAATTTGGGGGATCTGATTTTTTTTTTTTTTTTTTTTTGAGTTCTATATATATTCTGGTCCTCTGTGTGAGGGACAGGTGGCAAAATTGTTTCCCTCTTAGTAAGCTTGTCTGTTCACTCTCGGTGGTTTCCTTTGCTGTGCAAGAGTTTTGTGTTTTTTCTTTTTTTTTCTTTTTTTTTTTTTTGGTAACAGGGTTTGAACTCATGACCACGCACTTGTAAGGCAGGTGCTTATCAAAAGTTTTTAATAAGATGAGATCCAAGTTGTTGATTCTTTGTGACACTTCCTTTGCAGTTTGGTTCATAAAATGTTTACCTACATCTGTGTCTTCAAGAGTTCTACCTATTCTATTTTCCAGCAGATTAAGTGCTTCTGTCTTAATATTTAGATCTTCGATCCATTTCAATTTTGGTTTAGTGCGTGATGAGAAAAATGGGTCTACTTTTAATCTGTGGCGTGTGGCAAGCTAGTTTTTCCAGCACCATTTATCTTCTTATCTTTCTTTGTCTCCTTTGTTAAAGATGTAGTGGCTGAGTGTATCTGGAGTTGTTTCTGCATCCTCTAATATATTCCATTGATCTTTTGGTCTTGTTGTTTTGCCAGTGCCATGCCGCATTTATCACAGTAGCTTAATAGTATAATTTCAAGTCAGGAATGTGATGCCCTGCCTTTGCTTTATTGCCCAGAATTGTGTTTGCTATTGCTATTCTAGGTCTCTTGTTCCAAATGAATTTTGGGATTGATTTCTCTAATCCTATGAGGTGTGCTGTTGGTATTTTGATCAGGATTGTATTAAATCTGTATATCAGCTTTGGAAAGTATGATCCTTTTCACTATATTGGATCTTCTGACCAGAGACCACGAGCTATTTTTACCATTTTATGATATACTCTTTGATCTCTTTTTTCAGAGTACTGTAGTTTTTAATGCAGGGGTCTTTTTAGCTTCTTTTGACATAGTTATTCCTAGATGTTCATTTGTTTTGTTTTTGATGCTATAGCAAAAGATCTTATTTTCTTCTTTCTGTGAATTTGTTATTTGTGTACAGCAATGCTATTGATGTTTGAGTGTTGACTTTGTATCCTGCTGTGCTACTGAATTTGGTTATTAAATCTACTTCTTAATCTATTATGTCTTTTAGTGAGGTTTTTGGGGCCTTCTGTGTAGAGTATCATGTCTCCTGCACATGATGATAATTTAACCTATTCCTTTCCTATCTTTATGCCTTTTATTTCTTTCTCTTGTCTAATTGTCCTGGCTAATGTTTCCAGAACTGTGTAAAATAAGTGGAATGATAGTGGACATCCTTGTTTTGTTACTGATTTTATAGTGAAAGCTTTGTTTTTGACTATTCAGTATGATGTTGGCTATTGAATTTTAATAGATGGCTTTTTATCAGATTGAGAAAAAAACCGCCCTCCCTGGTAAGCGGCAGCAGTGTGGCCCACTGCAGCCCTTCCAGGGGGAGAATTAGCAGTGTCTACTGAGATCCACGCCATGTTGGAACTGAGGACACTGTGAAAACAAATGACCATTCTGCCTCCCTGCTTAGCAATAGTGAACCTACTGCTACATGGCCTAGAGTCAGATATCCCACTTCCCCTATCCTCCTTCTCCCCCCCCCCCAATTAGCAAATGGGAATCAGAAATCTGAGCATCTCCTGGGAGGTTGACCATAGCAGATAAGGGGGACTTCCTTCTACCATTTCTTTGAAGGCAAATATTTTTATTACTGTTTTGCTCTTTTCTGATTAATGGTACTGCTCTATTCAATATTCTATTTTGATAAGTTCTATTAGTGTTCTATATTTCATCTCATTTTGATATTACGAGAGATAACAAAATATACTGTGATACCTATTACTGTTATCCTGGTAACCTGCTGTGAAGTTCTGTACCAATTTCACTGTACGATTTTAGTTGGCTTTATTCTGTCTTGTTCTGTTGTATACTTTCAAAATAAAAATTAAAAGAAAAGATTGAGAAAAAAACCATGTATTTTAATTTTCTGTAGGGTTTTTTTTTTTCATGAGTGTTGTCAAATGCTTTTTCTGTGTCTACTGAAATGATCATGCGGCTGTGATAATATATAAATTTATTGATTTGTGTATGTTAAACTATCCCTGCATCTTTGAAATGAATCATACTTGATCATGGTATATAGTCCTCTTGATGATTGGCTGTGTTCTGTGTGCCAGTATACAACTGAGAATTTCTGCATCTGTATTCATTAGGAAGACCGCCTTCTAATTCTCTTGTTTTGGCTGATCCTTCTGGTTTGGTACCAAGGTAATGCTTGCTTCCAGGAATGAATTTGGGAGTATTGCGTCCTTTTCATTTTCATTAAAGAGTTTGAGAAGTAGCTGTATTAGATCCTCTATAAATTTCTTGTGGAATTCTGTAGTGAATCTGTCAGGGCCAGGGCTTTTCTTTGTTGGTAGATTTTTTATTGTATGTTGAATCTCACTGACTGATACTAGTTTGCTTAGAATTCTTGTGTCTTGATTCAACTTTGGTGATTCATGTGTGTCTGGGAATCTGTTTTTTTGGTGTTTTCCAACTTAATGTAGTACAACTTCTCAAAGTGAGTTGGTAATCTGAATTTCTACAGAATCTGTTGTGATTGTACCCTTTTCTTTCTTTTTCTTGATAAGGTCAGCTAAGGGTTTGTCCGGTTTATTTAATTTTTCAAAGAACCATCTCTGATTCATTGGAGTTTTTTCTTGCTGTTGTTTTCTTAGTCTCCATTTAATTAGTTTCTGTTCTGATTTTTATAGTTTCTTTCCTTGTAATAGCTTTGGTCTTGATTCGCTCCTCTTTTCTAGAAGTTTGAGGTTCAACATTAGGTTATTTGCGCTTGCTCTGTTTTTCTGATCTGAGAGTTCACCACTACACCTTTCCCTCATAGGTCTGCTTTTGTTGTGTTCATGCATTCTGGTATGTTGTAGTGGCACAATTTGATTATAGAAATTCTCTCATTTCTTCTTTAATTCTACCTGTGACCTATTGGTTGTTCAGGAGAGTGTTACTTAATTTCCATGCATTTTTGAAGTTTTTGTGATTTCTTTTGCTATTGATTTCTAATTATGCACTATTGTCTGATAATATGCATGAGAGAATTTCAGTTCCTTTTATTAAGCATGTTCTGTGAGCCTATATGTGGTTTATTTTGGAAAACATTTTGTGTGCAGCTGAAAAGAATGTGTATTCTGATATTGTAGGGTGAAACACCTTGTAGACATTTGTTCAGAAATTTCTTTCAGTTCTGATATTTCATTGTTGATTTTTTATTCTTTTTTTTTTTTTTTTTTTTTGTCTTTTTCATTTTTATCAGTACCAGGGATCGAACTCACGACTGCCTGCTTGCAGGGCAGGCGCTTATGCCGCTGAGCTAAATCCCCAGCCCCTGATTTTGAGTCTAGTTTATCTGTTTGTGATAGTGAGGTATTGAGGTCCCACATTACAATTGAATCAGTGCTTATTTGATTTTTTTTATGTTCATTAATATTTGCTTTGTATAGTTGAGTGTGCAGGTATTTGGTACATACATATCTATGATTGTTTTGTCTTTTTCTTGGATTGTTTTCTTGGATTGTTAGCAAGAATGCAGTGACCACCTTCATCTCTCAGTCTTTTGTTTGAAATCCACTTTGTCTGCTAAATAGAATGGCTACCTCTGATTTCTTCTGATTTCCTGTTGCATGGAGTATTATTTTCATCCTTTGACCTTCAGACTGAATTTGCTTTTTAATTAAATGTGTTTCTTTTATGCAGCGTATTGTTGGATCTTGTTTCTTTTTTTTTTTTTTTTTTTTTTTTGTCTTTTTTGTCTTTTTCATTTTTATCGGTACCAGGGATCGAACTCACGACTGCCTGCTTGCAAGGCAGGTGCTCATGCCGCTGAGCTAAATCCCCAGCCCCTTGGATCTTGTTTCTTGATCAGTT